CAATGAACTTTTGTTTGTACATTAATCTGTCATCACAATAGGTAGCTCTGGATCACACTAACTATTAAATAGGGATGCAAAGGTTAACTACTGATATCTGTCTAGATGAATGTCGCAGGTGTTTTCTTTGGTGCTGTAGGAGGAAAACCCGATTCTAGGCTCTTGGGAGTACATGGATGTGTATTAAACATAGTCCTGCTTGAGCAGAGAAGAGAGTGGTTACTGTAGGCTGGAATGAATGTGTTTTCTGGAGTAAATGTGCTTTGAATTTGCACTAGTAGAAAGGGGATATTCCAAGCATTAGGGGTGAGGACCAAGGTATAGATGGAATAGCTGTACTGTTCTTGGAGATAAGAAGAAATGCAATAGAAATGGGGACAAGGAAAGGCTTGATTGCTATGAGTGATGTCTAAATAGAACCAGGGAGTACAGGAAGTCTTCTGTGAGAGCCACCACCAAGGTACAAAGGTACAAAAGTATAAGATACAAGCTACAAGGTACAAGGTACAAGGTTCAGGGTACACGGTGCAGGGTACAAGGTATAAAGCCCATTTCACCAGCAACTTTCAGTGAGAAAGAGGCCATCTCAGACAGCCCATGTGGCAGAAGCATACATAGTATACCGGCTGAACCAAAGAACAGAATGTGAGAAGGGAAAGGAGATGAATATAATGCCATGCTTTTTTTCTGACTAGCAGTCCAAGAAACCTCTAAATAAGTGTGCAAGTGTGAAAATGCACTGGTGTATTAGGAAGTTGTTAAGTAACAGTAAGATTTTATTGCAAGACAGAGTGTCCTTGTCCATGTATTTAGTGTAGGCAGTAATGGCACCAACAGTTGAATGCTGGTTCATGGAGGATCTGAATCCTTATGTAGTGTATAAGCAAACAGACCATGTATCTGTGTTACTAATATTTCAGAGGTTAGATCTTAGGAAAAACTGTCAGAGAGGTTTTTCCTGGGTGATAAGAAGAAAGAAAAGCTAGAGAAACAGTGTGTCCCTAGTCCACAGCAATGGCAAATACACTCTGTCTGGTAGTGGCACCCAAGAATGAGCCAACACATTAACGTCCCAGGATGGTTAGTGCAGTCATTACTTCTCTTGTTCCTGTGAAAAATACATGACAAGACGCAAGTTAACAGAGGAAAGGTTGATTTTAGCTTATAGTTCAAAAGATACTGTCCACTGTGTCAGTGAAGGCATGGTCGCAGGATACTGAACAGATAATTCACATTGTGTCCATCATATAAAAGCAGGGTTCTGACAATAATTGGAGTTACTATGCTGAGGTATAACCCAAATGAATCCTTTCCTCTCTAACTTGCTTTTGGTTATGGTGTTTAATCACAGCATTAGAAAACCCAACTAAGACAGGTGACTGCATATTTCTTCTCAGATAGCATTACCTACTCCTGGGCTAGAGATCTCTCCCCCTGTTTAAATGGCTATATAACTGACATGTTTCAGAGCCTGCTTGGGAGATGTCACTAGTGGGTCACTATGTCCATAAAATGTGGCTTTTGTGCCACCCATACCCACCACCTGAGTTATGCTTCCTGTTGCTGTGAAACAACATTGTGACAAAAGCAACTTAAGGGAGAGCCTTTTTGGCTTCTTGAGCATCCTGAGCACTGTGTTACAGGACAAAGGGTTCATTGTCAAAATCCGCCATGACATTTAATCCCAATTAATGTCCTAAAGGAAATTTTATCCTTCTCTGGTGTTCCAATTTTAAGTATTACAATTCTTAGGAAAACTCCAAATGCCTTTTTAAAAAGATTTATTCTATTTTTAAGTATGTGTGGGGGAATGGTATGTTTAAGTGGGTTCAGGTGCCTGTAGAGGTCAGAAGAGGATTCCTAATACTCTAAAGCTGGAATTGAAGGCACTTGTGTGCTAGAAACAGAATTCAGATCCTCTGCAAGAACAGTACTTGTTTTTAACTGTTTAGCCTTCTCTCCAGCCCCAAAAACATCTTTAAAAAATTCCTTCCCAATCTTGGAAAGACATACAGGGAAAGAGACCTATTTCAAATCCTGCTCTGTAATGCTTGTGTCCTATAGCCACTTACTTAACATATTTGGTTGTAGTTGGTTGACATTTTAATAATTATTTGACATGTTCTAGTTTTTATTCTGTTATGATGATAAAATGCCTGACAAAAGTAAATTTGAAGAGAAAGGGATTATTAGATTTACAATCATATATTACAGTCCATCATTGAGGAGAAGTCAAGGACAGAACTCAAAAATCTGCTCACATCTAATAGTCAAGAGCCAAGTGAAACAAATACATTCAGGCCTACTTGCTTGCTTACTCTAGCTAGCTTTCTCCTGTTGTATACTTCAGATCCCCATTCCAGGAAATGATGCTGCCCACAGTGGACTCAGTCTCCCTACATCAATTAACAATCAAGATCAATCCCCCAACTAAAGTCAAGTTGATTTAGATCATTTCTGATTAATATGTCTTCCCTGATGACTCTAGGTTGTGTTAAGGTGACTGCTAAGTTAACCATCACATGATATTATGGGTAGCCAAGACCAAAAAAAAAAAGCTGAAAAGGTTAATGAAAAATAGATATTATCATTAAAACCAGAGTCTACATGCAACCGTGTTCATGGTAGGTTAAATATTTTGCTCTACTTTAGTCTAAACTAATGATGATAGCTTGAATAATTTTGAGTTGAAGAGGATTTCAATGAAGATTTATTTTATCTATAATTACTGCAAGTGAATATATATCCATGGATGTGAAATGACACCTCCTGCTTTCCCAGGGACCAAGAAAGATACTAAACCAATGAAAGCTTCAAGAGAATGAATCAACTCACAGAATACAAATTTATGTCAGGAAGGAAGCAGAAGTGCATCCCCCATTCTGAAGAAAAGAAGACACTTGGCAAGAGTGTTAATTACATGTCTATCACACAGCCCTCTCTGCCATAATTATTTCCTTATACTTCCATCCTCTACATCTGCCTGCTTCCTTTCTCTAAAGCACAGCTCAGCACGTAACAAATCTGCCTTTAAAATCCCCAATGGTTCCTTCTTCTCCAAGTTAAAGCCTTGCAGTGTAGGACCAAACACTTTCAAAAAATCCAACTGCACTCCTTGTTTTCAATCTTTCACTTGTCTCGTTACTCTCCTAACTGCATGGAAGCATGATACTTTGTGGTTTTCCATATCGTTCTGTATGTTCCAATTGCTACCTCTCCCTCCATTGCTATCCTATAATTTCCTCATGCACGGCACACACAAATCTAATGTCTACCTGCCAATTATGACCAAATTAAAATATTACTGTTCTAAATGCATATTAAAATTCCAGAGTAAGATTTGGAGAGGGAGGTCCACATTTGAGAGCACTTGTTTTTGTTGCAGAGGACCCAGTTCAATTCCTACTACCCACACAGTGGTTTACAATCCCCTGTAATTCCACTTCCAGGGAATCCAATGCCCCCTTCTGGCCTCTGTGGACACCAGACACAGACATGATGCGAATACATATATGCAGGCAAAATGTTACATACACTTAAATAAATCCTTAAAAATAATCACACGCCTTTAATCCCAGCACTTGGAAGGCAGAGGCAGGCAGATCTCCGTGAGTTTGAGGCCAGCCTGGTCTACAGAGCAAGTTCCAGGCCAGCCTCCAAAAGAATACAGAGAAACCCTGTCTCGAAAAACTAATAATAATAATAATAATCACATCTTAATCTGGGTTAGTTTACACATCTACATCTGTGTCATCTGAAACACCATTAACTCAAGATTCACCTAGATTCAGGTAGTCAAATGGTATCAAGACTCTGCACCTAATCTTATTAATTGATTTAATTAAGTGTGTGCATTATGTATGTGTCTGCAGTGCATGTATACATATATGTGTATGTTCATTACCATGGGCTCATAGAAATCAGATAAGCACATCAGGTGTTCTAATTATTCACTCTCTTATTCTTTAGATACTCTCTTATGTAATGAACCTGGCAATGAGCTGGATTCTAGCTCACCCCAGCAATCCTCCTGTCTCCATCTCCCACAATGTTGGATTACAGGCTTTAAACTGAAGTCCTCATGACTGCATAGTAAACCTCTTACCCACTGAGCTGTTTCCCTAGCCCCAGAAATCTGTACTTTTCCATCTCATTGTTTTTTATGCTTTGAGAAATTTTGAATCGCCAACTTCTTTTGAGATATAAAAATGGCTGTTGAGAGCTTTGACAGTGTGCTTTACTAGCTTACCATCGCAGCAAATGAGAAAACCCATTTGCCAGTGTAGCCATGCCTGGGTAGGGATCCCACAATGACTTTTGGATCACACAGTCATCTGGGAGATAATTTTCAGAACTGAACAGTATGGTACTCTAAGCAGCTAAGTGAAGTCTAACATTGGGAATGGGGTCACTTTCACCCATAATATGCACAGAGAGAGAGAGGGTGACAGCAGAAGGAAAAGCAGGGCCTCTGAAAAGAAGAAAAAAAGGGAAATGCCTGGTTGGCTAGCACAGATCTGAAGGTATACCTCAAACTTTTCTTCTAGCTGGAAGTAATATCCTATTAAAATCCCCATGGCTCTTTTCCAAGTGCCTGCCTCTCACTTTGCAGTGATCTCTGCACACATTTCATTTTCCTTGAGCCCTTTGAGATTCTAGAGAAGGAGCATAGCTCTGTTCATTTTGCTTCCCACTGCCTAGCAGGATGTGTTAGTCTGTTTTGTTTATTTTCTTTTCAATGTGGAAATAAAAGTTGCATTTAACTTCTTTTAATCCCCTTCAAACAGACAGTATAAGTCATATATAAGTTCTTTTCTCACATTGAAGATTTTTGATTCTGCTATATAATCAAGGAGTTGTTGTTGAGTGGATGAATGAGTGTACATAACAGAACATCAATTATCAACACTCCAGTCCATCACCCAAATGATCCCTTTAAATTCAGTCTGATGGAGAATGGTTTCCCACACCAGTCTTATACAGCAGGAGCACATACATACCCGGTTGTTTTCCCGTTTGCAGTTTCTGTGTGGGACGAATCAGAGCCAGAGCCCTGCGGAAAGGAGAAAATCAGAGCTCACTTTATCATCTCATTGAGAGAAGAAGCTTAAAACAATGGGATGATTAGACTCTGAGAATGTGAGTAAGAAGTGACGATGGGAACTGGTAATAACTGGGAATGAATAAATCATTAAATAACTACCTAACTGGCGTGAGTGCTAGGTCAACTTCGGTGGGATATGTTGAATAATTATACACTTTTCCTTATTTAATCTTGCAATGATCTTTCAAACTCCAGTTGTTCCCCTCTTCTGTGAAGTGGGAAGATCTCAGGCTCAGAGAGGTGAAAGAGTTTGCCAGAGGTGACTCAGCTGCTGGCCATCTGTGGATCCCATAGCGTTTGTTCTGAATTTAAAGCACAAGTCCTCAAACCATCATGGCCACTGTGATCAGAGATACCTTGGATCAGTGTGTTCTAGTTTGTTCTGGTGATTTATGCAACCACATAGTTCCTCTTTCTGAGAAGGGAAGATAAAGAGTTCCCATTTGACATTCAGAGTTGAAGGGTCTGGTTGCTCTAACCCAAACCCTAACCCTAACCCTAACTCTAACCCTAACCCTAACCTTGCCAAAGGGCACACATTGACCAAGCTGGCCCATGAGTCTGTCTGTGCATGAAATGGAACCTTAAAAGAAATCTTTTCCACTGTTCAGAGACTCCCCTTGCAATCTAAAGTTTCATCTGCTGTGACTTAAAAGGTACACCCTGATGCCCACAACTTCTTCATAGTGAATGATTTGTTCAGAGGGGTCCGGGCATGCTTTGGATCTATGTGCTGTGGAGAACGGGATTTATTTGAGGGATTCATGGACTCTGCACATGCAGTAACTCTGCTATAGGCCAGGGGCCAGAGCAACCCCCCATCCAATAGCTGGTATTGCTCTTCCCTACAATCAGCTGTTCAGCTAATTACACTCTCTAAAAAGAGCATATATGTCATATGGGATCAAATCATGTGAAACACAGCATAAGCATCCAGGGCCTGGGTAGAAACAACTGTGTGCTGTGTTCTCTGGAGCTATCCTGACCCTCTTTCTTCCCAGTGAGTGGCCAACTTTTCCTCTCTTGACTTCAAGATGAAGAGAGATGACCCAGTGAAGATCACTGTTCCTTTTTGTAAGCGCATATCTATGTTTGTTTAATTGCAGTCACTCCTTCCTTTATTATAATACAGTAAATGTTTATCATTCAAGCTTATAGAAAACCATTTTCAGAAATCCGTATCCTGTATTTTGAGCATATTGCCTCCATATCCTGCTAACCTCTCCCTGTCTCTATTAATTCTCTTAGTTCAAGATTATTTCACTTCCCTTTTCATGGTCCAGTTTTGTGTGATTCAAGGATCTCAGGTGATGGCCATTCAGCCACCATACATTAACTTGGAATAGTAGTCCTAAATTTTTTCTCATGCCAATGAAGATTAAAGACACAGATTCTCTTTGCAGTATGCAAAATAGAGTTAATCTTTATTAAGACAAACTACAAAAGAGGAGAGACATTGAGGCAAGGAGAGAAGGGAGAGAGAGAATGAAGCGAGACAGGGAGAGAGGCAAAAGAAGAAAAAATCATTTATCTTTCTTATCTAGCAGGTTTTTTATAGAGCCCAGCCAAAACTGGACAAAGGATGAATTAACAGCTGTAAGCTTGGCTGGAGGCTACACTACATGGTGCACTGTCCAACCCAGGAGATGACCACACGTCTTTTACACACTGCCTCTGTCTGTCTATCTCTGATTTAGACGTCTCAACCACTCTCCTTGCCTATCTGCTCTACTTAGCCCTGACCAATAGTGCCACTGTCAACCTTGCAGGTAGCTTGTAGCTTTGCCATGGCAGAAGATTAGCTTTTTCCCAGTCACCAAGATGTCTTTTTTGGTCACTTCATATTAGCTACTTTCGTGTGGGTAGACTGTGTGTTCTCCTAGGTGGAAGCCTCTTACAACTTGTTCTATTACAATTAGCAATATTAGAAGTGGGTGTATGTGAAAAACTGGAATGGTTGGCCAGCAAGCCCTGGGAATCCACTGATCTCTGCCTCCCCTGAACCAGAAGTAAACAATGGTGGTCTCTCTTCGGTTATTATTTCCAAAATCTGTCCATTCTCTTTAAAGGGTCATGCTCACAGATCTTGCAGGCAGATCTTATACCAAGCTGCCTTTGTGCACCAGAACATCTGGGTTCTGATGCACATAGCCCCTCTGCTTCTGCCAGCTCCCCAGAGGCCCATGAACTGATATCCCTGTTTCTTCAGATGAGAGAAAGTGGTGGGATACCCTTGACTTTTTTTCTACTTATAGTTGCAGAGAGAGTGGTGGGAGACACAAACAGAAGAGAACAAAGCATCTCATTATGCTGATTCTCTAACGATCCACCAATCTATCCACGGTGGATCTTATTAAAGATGACAGGGAGGTCTCTGAGGATGCATCTGCCGAATAACAGAGCCTTCCTCCACAGCAGGCCCAGCCACATCAGCTGTCACTTCATTAGCCAGAAACTGGACAGTCTTTGTGAAGTGGTTCTTAATTCATTAGCACTAAGTGGGGAGATTGATTTACAAGGATTAATGATCTGCCACTCTCATCAAAGGGCCTCCACAGGGAGACCTCCCACCGAGGACATCTCAGGTCTTCAGATCCTGTGGTCAGTTCAGTTAATGAACATGGAGCTTGGTGACCTTGTGGCCTTGATTTTAAGGTGACATCATTTAGCCATAGCTTTTTGAGGAAAAGTCTTTTTTAAAGGGGGTAATATACATAACATATGAGCAATATATCACTGGGGTTATCTATATGGTACCTACAATACATATTAGAGCATAATTTATCTACTACATAATGATACCATGCTCAAGTTTTTATTTTAGCATATTTTTAATATTATGTATTATGCTGTTATTTATCATACACTAATGTATAATTCTGGTTCAAAATAATAAAATATGTACATAAAGTGCACATACAAATGCGATGGTTAGCATTGATTGTCATCTTGACTCATTCCAGAGTCACCTAAGAGAGAGGGTCCTATGCACATTTGGAAGGCATATCTTGATTAGTTTAGGTGAGGTGGCTAGACTTGCCCTATGTGTGGGTTACACCCTCCTGGGACATAGCAGATTATTAATTCTTTCTGAAAACCTGATTCTGACTAGCAGCATCTAACAGTTTCTGTGGCATAAATACTCTACCATGCTCAACCCGGTTGTCTACTTTGCTAAATCAGTCTCCTCAGATACAACTTGTTAGACTATTTTAAAAGAATCAATTTCTGCCTTTTAAAAATATCCTCTTTTGTTTTATTCTTCTATTAATTTCAGCTATTTCTAATGTAATTTAACTTTGATTCTGTGTTCATTATCATTTTGTTAAAACTGTAAATGTTTAATGTTTAACATTTAATTTACATCATGTTTTGATAATAAATCAAATCAGGATTATGTACTCATTGGCGCTGTTTTAGCCACATGTCACAGATTATCACTTGATACTCTCAGTTATAAATATGTCATGATTTATTCTATGCCTTTCTTGAGATGTTTAAACATGGAATTTTTGAGGGGATGAGCTTTTAAGGGTATTTTTAAATTACATTTTAATTTTTAAATTAAAATATAATTATATTATTGCCCCTTCCCTTTCCCCTTCCAATCCATCTTATGTACCTACCTTGCTCCTTTTCTAACTCATGTCTTCCTCTCCTTTAATTGTTATTGTTACATATGTGCAGATGTGTGTGTGCATAAATATATAAAGGCAACCTTCTGACTCTATTTAGTGCTGCATGTATGTCTATGAGGTCAGAGAATTGGATAATCAAATAGAGGGTTCATCCCTGGGGACTGCTTCTCCCTCTCTCAGAAGACATTACTGGTATATAGTTCTTTGTCTAAGGTGGGACCCCTCACATTAGCATGTCTACTGGGTTTGTCTTTGCTCAAACATCCATATTGTTGAGATATCTTGGATGAAGCTTCCCTATCACTTCTAGGAGACAAACATCCCACAGCAAAGTTCCTGTTCCTCAGGCTCTTATAGCATTTTTGTCCCTGAGCCTTAGGTGAGGAGTTGTGTTGTACATGTATGTATCAGTTGTGGTTGGCTACCCCATAGACATTTGTGCTCTGCATTTTGTGGTTTTATGTAATTGTCTCCGATATGTGGCAAAGAGAAGATTCTTTGATGAGGGGTTAGAGCTACACTTACTTGTGGGCATAAGGATAAATATTTAGTCTGTGTAATGGATCATAGTAGTTCAGGGTACTGGCAGTAGGTGGTACTCCTCTAGCATTCATGTCCTCATGAGTCATTGGTACTTGGCTAGGTTTCCAGTACCAGGTATGATTTTCTTCCTGTTGTATAGGACTTAAGCACAATTAAACAGCTGTAGATAATCAGCAATATATAAATGCCCTTTAGGTATATCATGCTGTGATGGTCATTGTGTGTTATAGTCACCACAGCTGGGTAGGACTGTTGGTTGCTTTCATCCCTGAGGAAGCTTATGTAGAACCTTCTGGTGCTATGAAACTTGTCTTCAGAGGGAGAGCTTTCAGGCCAGATTCAGCTAGGATTCTCAAAGTCCTGAATTTGAAATGTGTAGTGTCTTTAGCAAAAGCAATTGCTGAATCCCAGGGGCCCATGTTCTTTGCCTCTACTGTGTTGGAATTACAAGCACAGACTATGCCAAGTTTTTTTACATCAGTTTTGTGGATCTAATTTGGATCCTTGTACTGACAGAGCATACTGACTAAACTATCTCCCCAGCCCCTAAAAGTTAAATAAATTCTAATGCCAAAACATCCACTGAAGACAATAAAAACAATAAAAAATATTCTATTATATTATGGCAGCAATAGTGAGCAAGCTAGGAATACAGATGACAAGATGTCTGCAGGTAGCTACCATTTCTGCCTGCTCAGAAAACTATTAATGTTAAAATTCATCTCAACAAGAACATCATTAAACAGAACAGTTTTCAAAACAGAAATT